TTTGATATACGAATCCATGCCCGGTTAGCTTGTAAAATTCTCGCTCGAAACAAAACTTCTTTCTTTCCAAAAAAATTTTTTATTACCTTGAATTCAACTTATCTTACAAAAGTTTTAGATTCATTTATATAATATATTTACCCACAAAATCAACATTACAAAAACCGCTTAGTACATAACTACAATTAAAATAATTAAAAACTATTAGTAAAAGAAACCACGTAATTGCCTTAGAATGTTCTAGAACTTTCTCCACTTTATTTACATAAAGTAATAGCTGCTGTGTCTGACGGTGCTTCTCCAAATCGATTGTTCTACAAAATGCACAAAGGCATGGGTAACATTGAATCATTTGTTGTGCAATGTTCAAAAAATATATATTTGCAGACCGTTACATATATTTTTTTCTGATAAACCAAAACTTATAAAAACATTTAGAAACTCGTTACACCACTCTGGAGAATAAAAATCGTACAAGTTATTTATGGAATGAACAAAAAGTTATATGAAGTTATTTTGTGAGAGTATTGAATAATGATATTTTTAGAGATTTAAAGTTGCTGTTTAAATTGACCTTAGAACATGTAAAATTAAATTTTTTTTCTGTCATGAATGTTCGCTTAGCAGCTCAAATCCTTAGCTAAAGCGTTTTAAATGTCTTACGTTTAAAGTAACCACCAGAAATCCATGTAACAGCACAGATATGTGAATTAATGAATAAATTTTTTGATTATGCAATTACTCGTAATCAAACGGAAGGCATTTTGAAAAGAAAAGAATTTTTGTTGCCCTACCGTAATGTTAACGACACTCGCTTTGATTGGCTGAAAAAAACCATTTTAAAACACTTTGAAATTTGGCAAGAAAGTATTAAAAATAGAACTCGGATTTTTCATCGGGGTGAATGTGAAAAAATGTCTATTTTATTACAAACATACGAAGGTCACCATATAAATGTGAATTCATTAATTGAAGATACCAGGTTATTATTAACTAGTGGAGTGCCTTTTGTATTGATTGAACGTTTTATCCAGGATGTCCTGGAGGAATACTTTGGGAGGCATTGTAGCCTTAGTTGCCGAAATGACAACCCTACCTCTATTAAGTTGGGATACCATTCGAATGCTATTAGAATGCAACGATCAGTAGCACCTATTACTAAGAATACCATAGGAGCTCATATACAAAAGCGAAAAGTATCGCGGAGAATCACTTCTGATGAATCGTTAGGAAAAAGGTAGTAGAGCAAGAAAAAAAACAAGAGAATCTGGGTAGATTTGAAAATAATTAACAATATTTGAAGATACATATTCTTGTAAATAAACCTAAACACATAACAAGTGAAATTTACAATTTTACGACATCCTTGTTACTTTTTGAATTGTTTTATAAGCTTTTTACAAAGTCCGCCATTATTATTTTTTTGTTTAAATTTTAGTTTATGTTTCGTGGTAATGTCTTTAGACAAAGAAAATACTCGCACTCGAAAATAAAGTTTTATCACATTTTCTAAAAAGTTTTTACAAACATCATTATCTATATCAACTCCACATCCTGTCAAGATAGAGTTAAAAAAGCTCACTACTTCTGTATTTTTCAGTAGTTCTACAGTCTCTGTTAACGTTTATTTCTTGCAAATGTTTAGTATTTGTTTCATTTTGATAAGTCCACCATAACATTTTGCCTAAATCAATTACTGATCTGTAGAATTATTGCTAATAGTGTTATTAAATACTTTTATTATATTTTTGTCTTCAATTTATCTATTATTTGGACTATTTTTTGATTTTTTTATAAACTTTTTAAAGACATACCGAGCTAAATATTGCAAGGCACCAATTTCATCACTTGTTATATTTTCTATTTGTTTCGCTTCATCGTTGGGCATTCTTTTGAAGTATGCACGCACCTTGTCAGCCAGTTGTATTGTTAAAAGGGTACTATTGGGTTTTCCTAATTCAGGAAATTAAACATCTGCTTCGATTACTATTTTATTGTAAAAACTCTAATAATAACTTTCTGCATTGGTTGTATTTATAAATCTTTTTAACATTTGTATAAAGTGCTTCCGTTAGTATGAAGATATAACACTTGAAACATTCTCGTCGATTTAAATTGTAACAGCTATCCTTAAATAGAAACTAAGTTTTTACCATTAACAGAACTAGAAATGGAAAAATTGGATAAATATGAATTAGCTTTGTTTTTTACGTGTCAAAAATGTCAACAGTTAAATCGTTGTTTACACGATTGTTTTTGGTGTGAAGATAGAATGTGTTATTTATGTTTATTAGATCATTCACTGCAAACAATGATGAAATTTAATACAGACCATTGTAACTGTTAATTTGTAATATAATTATTTATGTATTTGTTTTTAGATTAGTAAAAAAAATGAACAAAAGTAAAGAATTACAAGAAGCTTTGGATAATTTAACAAATTTAACATTATATAAAATAAGAACAAATAATTTCAAAACGAATGATTCTTGTAGTATAATGAATATAGATCAATATGGTATTAAGATTGAAAGGGCCATCGAAAAAATTAAAGATAAAACAGCTGTTAGAGAAGATTTGGAAAAAGAGTTATACGATGTTCGTGATTATTTAAAATTATGTAAAACTATGAACGTTATGCTTCAAAATAAATTATTTCATTATGAACGATTGTTTCAAAATAATAATGAATTTTTAAAATGTCATTATTGTCAAATTTATTATTTAAAAAGTAATGTTTATTATTATCCTAACGATTTTTTTCATTGTTATTGTCCAACATGAAAATTATTATACGGTTTTTAATAAAAATTTAACTTTTTTTTACAGATGAAAACAGTAAAAATAATAGATTATTTATTTATTTTTCGTCATTAAATGAATAATCTTTACTAATCCCAAAGAACAAAAAGTATTTATACCTGTTGACGCTTAAGGAAAATTAGATTTTGATTACAACGAAATGAGCGTGAACAAAAAAATTGTTACTTTTCAATCGTTTCTTTACGTTAAAGCACAAAATTGTAAAAATTATTTTTATCTCAAATCTCATCGCAATCCATTTTGTCAAGAAAAAGAGAAGGAGAATCAACAAACTAACGACGAAGAAGATAAAAACAATATAAATAATGAAAAAGAAAATCAAACAAAAAAAAGAAAATGGAGCGAGAGCGAAAGAGCTGCTTTAATGCTTGAAGAAATTAAAAGAAGAAAGCGATATGGATTGTGCGAATCATCAGACGAATTTTCAAATTCTGGAAACGAATCAAGCGAATCAGAATGATTGGGACAGCGAAGAACTGTTGCAACTTTTACAAAGCGATTACGAAGCGTGCAATCTAAAAACTTTAAAACGAAAAGACATGAGACAAAAATTAGCTGTTCGCAGTCACATTTTTATACCTAAAATGAACAAGCGTAAAGATATAGACGAAAACAAAATCAAAATATGGATCAAAGAAATTTCGGCTCGATTTAACGCTGTCAAAATGTTAAAATGCGAACTATTGTCCGATCACGAAAGATTACAAATCAAAAACGCTTTTCAAGATTACGTGTGTTTAGAAATTAAATTGTTTGTTAAAGAAATTTTATATCCTTATCCCAAATTTAACGAAAACGGAAAAATCATTTTAAAAAAAGAAAAAATGAAAGACAAAAACAAAACCATATTGGATTTCGTTTACAATAATTACGACGTTTCAAAAGAATATATCAACTCTACTCGTTTTAAACTTTATCTCGAAATTATAAATTATTACTCTAATAAATTAATCTCATTTGACACGTTGCAACCTACAAAAACTGTTATTGACTTGTTAAGACAACAATTTGATATTGATTATTGTCAAAAAGAATTGTTTTCTCAAAAAAATTTGTATTATTTTGAAATATGAATAGATATAAACCGTACGATTTTTCTTATTCCCCTTTGCTTGCTTTGCGAAAGGTTTTGGCGCAAAATGCTTACAACACTGACGTTTACAAAAAAACTAGAATGGAAATGGAAAAAGAAACTGAAGAAAAAGAAACAGAATCTGCTCCACAAAATTCTGGCATGCCAGAAACAATAATGAAATCTGACATTTCTCATTTGATCGAAAGATACGATTTACCCTCTTCCCTTATCTATGCCGATCCGATAAATGCAGAAGCGCAAATCGAAGGCGAATTGCGCTTTCAACAAGAATTAAATAATTTATTACCTATCGAAACACAGCTGAACGGTGATTTTACAACATCGCTAATAAACGATCAAGAAAAACGGAAAACTCATTTAAACGTAGGAGGTGACGCTTACGCTTTTAGCAAGTTGATCGGTCAAAACAAATACAACGAATTTAACGCTCAAGTCGATCAAAGAACCATTAGCGAAACTTTAAGAACCATGAGAAATATTAAAAAATGTGTTCCTCAAGAAGTTAACAATTCTCTTAATTCCATGCCTCCTAGTTCTGTACAAGCAAGTTTGAATAACTTGTCACAAAAAACTACTTTAAATACCGTTCAACCGACTAACAAAAAAGTTTACCTTTTAACTCCTCTTAATCGATTTTTAACTTTTTACGAAAAACCTAACGAAGCAGAAGTATCCAAACTCATGACAAGTTTAGCTAGATCAAATATGGCCAAATTAGCTCGTAATTTATTAGACATGTGTAACAGTCAAGTCAATCACACGTTTGGATCGAATCGCATTTCTTTATGCGTTTATAAACCTAGAGGCGAAGAAGCGACATTGAACAATTTAAAAATATATATTCATTTTTTAAACAACGTAGTTGTTGGTTCCCTGTGATTGCTTTGATTATCTAGACTGAATAGTTGTTTATATTATCAAAAATGGCGGAACACGCCATGCTTTCCTTTTAGTATAAATCAGAATAATAAAGACATAAAACGGGTTGGCGAGAATATTAGAGCTCTCCATCGGAGAGATCTAACACACTCCTCCCTTGAACAAAACGTTCAACAAACTATAAAACAAATTAGATACAAAATTAAAATTGTCCCATTAAGCGTTTTATTAGTATTCCGTTTCTTGATGCTATTCGTACAGGTCTTTCGTATTTCGTATCAGAAAAATTGTTACTTTCATCTACAGCATCGTTGCTGGCGTTTAGCTCTGTATCAGTTACTGTTTCGACTGACTTGACTTCTATAGGGTATAGCTTTTCGATAGGACGCCTAATATAATTTTGTTTGTTTGTTTTATCTGTTAAGACTTTTACTATTGCAGAACGAACTATGTTATCGCTTCCCGTAATCAGTGACACTACTTTTCCTAATCGCCATTTGTACCTTTTAATATCAGAATATCAGAGTGAATAACAACAATTTCTCCCAGTTCGATCTATTGACTCTTACTGGATCCCTGCTTGTGGAATTCTCTAAGATTAACTAGTTTATATATTCACTTGTAAATCTTACCCAAAAATGATCACGTATCAGTTTTAAATATTTCATTCGTTTAGTTAACTGAATCTTACTTTCAAGCTTGTCAAGATCTGCCCCTTTTCGTTAGTTTCGTTAGGTGAAATAAGTCTTCGACCATGCATCAAATGGGAAGGGGTAAGAACTTCCTCAGTGTCTTCATGGTAAGCGTATGTTATTGGTCTTGAGTTGAGAAGACCCTCTATTTCACAAAGAATTGTTTCCAGTTCGTCATATCTGATGCTACTTCTAAACACAACCTTGAGTAGCGATTTTTTGACCGATTGCACTAGACGTTCCCAAAAACCACCCCACCAGGGAGCAGCTTCAATAATATATTTCCAATCGATTTCCAACAACAAAAGCTCCTCGCTTAATTTAACTTCTTCATTCTTAAAACATGTGGCATTGTCTGATATCATAAGATTTGGAATTCCTCTTCTTCCAATAAAACGTTTTAAGCATAGAATAAATGATTTCGCAGATAAGTCAGGTACTAAGTCCAGGTGAATGGCTCTGGTGGTGGTGCAGGTAAATAACACTACGTGCACGGGATACATTTCAGTAGAATTATCATCGAATATCGGTTTAACGTGCAATGGTCCTAAATAATCAACTCCAGTATGCTGGAAAGGAAAACTTGCAGTGACACGATAGTAAGGCAACGGTGGTGACACTTTAGATGTAAAAGCCTTCCCAAACAATCTTTTACAGAATGAACATTTGTTTATCAATGAGTGTACATGCTTACGACCTCGTAGGATCCAGTATTTTGACCTTATTTGGCAGAGAGTTTCCTTTACACCTGCATGTAGAGTTCGTTTGTGAGCCTGACATATTAATAATTCTGACAAATAAGATTCACTTGGTAGCAAAATTGGGTGTTTAGCATTATAAGGCAGTATTGAATTTTGTAACCGTCCTTTACAACGAACTACTTTATCCTCGTCAACGAAGAGACCAAAAGTGTTGTTCAGAATTTCCACTTTGTTAGAAAGGTCACACTGGTAGGTTCGGATCCAAAGAATTTCAGCTTTTCGAATATCCGCAATGCAAAGAGATTTTGTCTGATTATTGGCTTTATTTATAAGATGCTTAAGACTAATTATAAATTTTAACACATAAGCTGTAACTTTAAAAAGTTTGTGCAACGAACTGAATTGCTCAACGTTGATTACATTACGCATATTTAAGCTGTTGGTTTCAAGAGCTTCTTTTACTTCACTATTTTCTGTGCTGAATTTCGTAGGGTTTACATTTACGACCACGCTAAGATTTGATATTTCGTCAGTTTTACTTTTGTTGAATATATCGGATGGTTCTGCCGGCCAATATGAGAGATCTTGATAAAGAAACTCAGGTCCATCCATCCAATATTCAAACCAATTACCAGATTTAAGGATTGAGAGGCCCCTTGAGGGAAGATCCGCTGGATTGATTTTACCAGGTCAGAATCTCCAGTGATTAGGTGGAATGTTTTTCTTTATTTTTGTTATTCTATTTGTAATGAATTGGTTTCTGTTTGCAGAACTATTTTTTATCCAGCATAAAGCATCCATTGCATCGCTCCCACAGTAAATATTCTCTATTTTAAGGGTACTATTTAAAGACACAATTACACATGCCATAAGTGAAGATAGCAGTAGACAAGAAGACAGTTTCAATTTAGGAATGGATATAGGTTTTAGCGTAGAGATCTTTGTTTTGCTGGCAATAAGTCTACCTAGAATCTGTTTATCAGGAGTTTGGGCAGTTATAAAAACTACAGCTGCGTATGCACTTTTGCTGGCATCACAAAAGCCATGTATAGTTATGTTAGTTAAGTTTTTTATTAAATGTTCTTTAAAGAAATAGCGATGCCACTCATACACAAGATTACAAGATAATAACTGCATTAACTGATTTCACTCATTTTTTAACTCGTCATTTAGCTCCTTGTCCCAATCTTTTATTGTAGTGCATATTTTTTGAAAAATGAGCTTTAGTGGTAAAATTAAGGGAGAAATGATTCCGATTGGGTCATATATAGATGCAATAATTTTTAGAACATTTCTCTTTGTGACTCTTTTATTTGTTCCAGCTTCATATTGTTTAGTTAGATTAATTGACAATTTGTCATGACCGGTGTCCCATGTGATGCCTAGGATTTTACTTTCCGTACTTGGGTGATCTTGTGGGTTGAAAGATGATATATTGATATAAGGCGACTGTTATTTGAACGCCATTTTCTAAGGTTTAACCCTGCTGTCTTTAGACGTGATTTTGCTTTGAGGCAAAATTCGAGTACCTCATTTGATGTATCTCCTCCTGCAATGCTATCGTCAACATATAAATTTATTAAGAAATTGTTCACAAATTCTGGATCGCAATGTTTGTATTGATATAAATGTTTCATGATAGATACAAATAATAAGAATTGTGACGAGTTCATACCAAATAGTACTCTAGTATAGCGATAAGAGATAACTTTTGGATTGCTGTTGTTTACATTGTCGAACCACAAGAATCTTAAAAAGTCACGATCATTTTTGTTTACAGCAATGTTGAGAAATGCTTTTTCGATATCACTAGCTACTGCTATTTTGTAAGTCCCAAATCTTATAAGAATATCAATTAACATGGGAAGCAGGCAAGGACCCTTTTCCAAACAATCGTTTAATGAAGGACTATTTGACGATGCATCAAAGACAATTCGTAATTTTGTGGTAGACTTTTCCTCTTTGATTACTGCGTGATGCGGAAGATAATGGACTTGTCCTACGAGTGGTGGAAAATCGGGGATTCTTTCTATAATTCCTTCATGTTCCTGCTGACGTATAATCTCATTGCACTGTTGCAATAAGTTTGGATTTTTCTTGAGACGATTGTAAGTTGATAGCAATCTGAGTTTGCTTTTCTCATAATTATCTGGAATCTGTTTGCGTTCTTGTTTCCAAGGTAGAGGTACGGAATATCTCTTACCATTAAACTGGATTATGTCATAGAAATTTTTTAAGTCAAAGGTTGTGTTTATTTCATTAATATCTTCTAATTCCCTGATTTTACCAAGACTGCCAAGATCGTCAGAATTAACTAAGATTGGTTCAGAAGATGTATGAAGAACAGATGCTATATTTACAGAAGCAGAATTAATTGATTTAACATTTCCATTAAGAGTCCAACCAAGAATTGTGTTTACTGCGGTTAGTGATTGGTTTGCTCTAATTAATTGTCCTGTTACAAAGTTCCAGTAGTAATTTGCACCTATTAATATGTCAATTTCTTTTCGATCTTTTAAATCATCAGCTATCGGTATATTGGCTAATTCTGTGTGCTGCAATTTTGCAAGGTCGATTCGTTGATTGATAATAGGAGAGCATATGATTGGTGTAACATATGCTTCGATTGTAGAATAATGATTGGTTTGGATGTTTTTAATTTTAATACTGACAAGAGCAAATTTTCGAGGCTTTTCACAACTTTCTCCAAACACTTTTACATTTAGAATTTCGTTTCGAATAGTTTTGAGATTCAACTTCTTTCTTACATCAGATGTCACAAAAGACTTTTGAGAGCAATTATTAAATAACACTCTTGCAACAATTTTAGTTTTCTTTATTGAGTTGCTTGTGTCTAATATTTCAGCTTTTGCAGTTTGCAGGAGAATATTATCTTGACAACCAACAACATTGACTGAGGTGTCTGGTATGGTTTTATCTGAATTTAAGTTTACATAAGCTCCAGCATTGTTTTTTTTATCACAAATTGAAATATGATGCTTATCATTACACTGAAAACAAATATTTTTTGAATAACAATTTTTTACAGAATGTCCTGATTTTAAACAGTTATAGCATTTATTTTTGGTTTGAATAGTACGTTTTCTTGCAACAACATCTGTAACAACATTACACCGATTACTTGGATGCTTACCTTTACAAAAAGAACAAGAAATGAGCTTAACTGATTTGGGTTGCCACTCTCTTGGTTTTACATGTTTTTGTTAAGAGTGCAATGTTAATATGTATTTTGGAAAATGATCTTGATTTATGTCTAAGTTACTCATTCCCTTTTCCATAGATATACAACGCTATAAGTTCCTCTCTGAAGCAGTTCATAAGGTCTATTATTTTCCACTTTCCTTGAGGCATCTTTCGTGTAATGTCGAGTTTAAAGTCTTTAGGCAATTTACTCATTATTACTGATACAAGTACTGGACCAAAATCCTCTGAGTTAACATTTAAGAGTTCTAAGTTTTTAGTATGAATTTCGACTAAGTCGAAGATTGTTCGGATTTCAGAGACTTTATTACTTTGAGTAGGTTGAATGTTGAGAAGAGCATCCATGTGAGCGCTTATTATCACTTGTTCGTCTCCAAATCTTTCTTTAAGAATTTTAATTGCAGTTCTATAATTTTCACCTGTTATGGCTAAACCTTGGATTGAAAGACTCGCATTTCCTTCTAAGAGACTTTTAAGGTAATTGAATTTAGAAATGTCATTTAATACTTGGTTTGAATGGATAGCACTATCAAAACTGTCCCAAAATGATTGAAAGGTCATTGGATCGCCACTATACTTGGGAGGTGTCAGCTTGGGCAGTTTGGCAGAGATTGAATATTTAGGTTTGGAAGCTGGTTTCTCAATATGGAATGAAGATTCATTAAGATTTTGTTTAAGATACTTTTCGATGCGTATAGTGGTTTTTAAAATGTACCTTTGAAAGTCTCCAGATTCGTTCATATCCGTGCAAATCTCATCATCATCTTCCAACAACTCACTTATTTTATCGTTAAAATTTTCTATAACTTTCATTTTTATGTTCAACAGCTCCAAGTTCGTATTTAAGTCAGTTTCCACACCTTCACGATTTTCGCTAGACTCAAGTTCCTTATCTAATAAGATATTCGTTTCTTCTATAATTTTTGATGCATACATTTTATGCATCCTTCTTGATTTTTTCATCGATTTTAGTTGCATATCCATGTTTTAATTTATCAAAAGAGTTATTTTATTATGAACTTCCAATTAAGATATAAATAAAAGTTTCGGCACCATATGTTGGTTCCCTGTGATTGCTTTGATTATCTAGACTGAATAGTTGTTTATATTATCAAAAATGGCGGAACACGCCATGCTTTCCTTTTAGTATAAATCAGAATAATAAAGACATAAAACGGGTTGGCGAGAATATTAGAGCTCTTTATCGGAGAGATCTAACAGTAGTCGACGTTGAAGAATCTTTAGCTAGCGTTATTAACAACGTTAACGCATCTTCTTACGAAATCATAAAAGTCCTAAACAATATTCTTATTACGCTAACGAATTTTTAACTTTACTTGCCTCGCCTCAAAGCGTAAGCAATTTAAGAATGGTTGCAGATTATTATCAAATTAAACATCCTACTTTTGCCAAACTGTGGAATTATTTAAAAAAGTATAACATATCTTTTAGAAACGAAAACAAATTTACAGCAGAAAGCGCATATCAAGAAACCTTTTCAAGTCGTCCTTACACTGTAATGACTTCAGCCTTTTTTGAAAGCGATTCTTTAGTAGACAAAAGTTTTTCAGGCAATATCGCTTTTGATCGTTTATCAGAAACAAAAAACGTTGTAAACTCGTGGTTAATACAATACACAGAACAATTTAAAGGCTACAACTATGACATTTTAACCGATTACATCAAATCTAACAGCGTTTACATGCTTGACAAAAATATTTATAATTTGATGATTAACAATTACTACGAAAACGCAATGCAAAGCACATCAATCGGTGAACACATGTTATATCTTACCTTTAAAACGTTTTTTTCGAATCCACCTTCTTTACCATATAGAGATGCAGACGATGTCGTACAATTACAAGACAACGTAGTAACCGCTTGCATACAAGCGAACATGCAAGATTTCTTAGATCAAATTAAAAGCAACTCGAATCAATTTTATAATACAGAAATCAATATTAAACAAAAAACAATCATCGAAATGATGACGATAATGGGTTCTTTATACAGTTCTCAACTCTTTCGATTGGGTACTCTTTTATCGTCATATAAAAAATGTTTTGAAATTCAGTCTTTTAATTCTAATGAAATTAAAAACTTTGCATTAACTTTAAAATCTGTCACTTCATTAAAGGCAAACAATTTGTTTTTGCATCCAAAAATTGATATCAACTTTTCTCCTGTGAAGAAATCATTTTTTTCAAAAAAGTCTGTGTTACTTACCCCCGAATCTTTAGACGATACACCGTTGTCTCAATCTACTCCTAAAGAAAAACCTTGGTTAGATTCTACTCCAAAAGAAGATTCTTGGTTATATAAAGAAGAAGAAAAATCTGTCGGTGCTACCGCTTTACCTACTGAAGCTATACCAATTACCGATATAAAACCTAAACGTTTGTTAGGAAAAAAATATCCGACAAGAAAAAGAGGTAAAGAATTTAAAAAAAAAATGGAAGACGCATTAAGAGATAAAATAGAGCGTCTTATCGAAATTCAACTTGAGGATTTATCTAGTCGTTTATTTGGTTTGACCAACTTTTCAAAAATTAAAAAAATAATGTCACAATTTTAACACTTTAAAAAAAATGTCAGCGATTTAAAATTTTATGAAAAACTTAAAACAATTTTAGAAAATTCGGTTTTTGCTAAATGGGACGGTATGATTACTGCTTGGTCACACGTTAAAAATCAAGCGCCGAGAAAACCATACGTTTACGAAACGCATCGGTTTTCTTACGAAAAACCTCATCAGTATTTTCAAGCCGATTTGACAGACATGGAGAGTTTTAATTTTAATCCTGGTTATCGTCCCGATTATTGTTTAGTCGTAGTTGACGGTGTTTCGGGCAAAGTGTATTTGAGAGTAATGAAAAAAAAGACTGCAGAAAAAACGGTCAGCAGTTTTAGACACATTTTTGAAGACATTAAAAGAGACGACGACAAAAGTTTTATATATTTGCAAACAGACGAAGGTACAGAGTTTTTTAATTCAAAAATGAAAGAATGGTGCGAAGCCGAAAACGTGCAACACTTTCATTCTAAAAATTACGGAAAGGCCTATTTAGCTGAATCGGTCATTGGACGTTTAAAACTGTTATATCAAAAATTAAAAGATAAAGGTCAATTAAAAAAATATAATTGGAGTTATTACATTGAAGAAATTGAACAAAAACTAAACGAGAAAGAAAAAACATCGAGCGGTATAAGTCCCGAAGAATTAGATGCCGATGACAATAAAGGTAAAGCACTGCGTATGATTGATCAATACGTAAGCAACAAAAAACGCAAACATGACTTTACATCTAACATGTTGCATCGCGTAAAAAAAGAACACAAAAATCAAAAATTAAAAATATTAAAACCTTTATCTGTTGGAACAGAATGTTATTTGAGAAAATACAAAAAAAAATGCTAAAGACACTTTTAGCAAATCGTGTACACGAAACCGTCCGTATTGGGACACGACAAAACGCGTCATCATCATGAAAGTCAGCAAACGCACAAACCCTTCAGTGCAAGGTTATTTACCGGTTCATTTTACAAAGTAGGACAAGTAGACGATTTAAATACAACGTATAAAGTTAAGAGAGAAGATTTGTTACCTATTAACGAAAAAGATAAAAACATTTATTTTAAAGACTTTAACGAATACGTAGACACTTTTTATAAACCTTTAAAGAAATCTTTGCAAAAACCTTTTTTAAAAAAAACTGTTAAAAAAAATGAACAATTTAGTATTTGATGATGTTTTAGATGTAAATAAATATGACTGTAGTACGTATTTTTTTAGCGAAATTAAAAGTAAAGAGCAAGAAAATGTTCATTATAACGTTTTGAACGATTTTAGTTTACCCTTATCTACTAACGATCTTAATAAACCTTTTTTTAAAAATAATACTATTATGCATTTATCATCTATGGACGTTCCAACTAATTTAACTCGTATAGACGAAAACATTTCGTTAACAGAAAACAGTTACGGAACAAGAATGGAAATGAATCCTTCTATAAAACAAATGATGACAGATATTCAAAACGACATGATATCTAATCCGAATCAAAAAATTCCTTTTTATCTAGTAACTAAAAAAATTATTTTGTATACCGATTTTGCTATTTTGCAAGGAGACACGTTTCAAAATTATGACCTATTAAGAGTTTAAGATATGGTCGCAGTTAATTTGAAATATATGTGTTCAATTGTTGGTTATGGTAAACTATTTGGTGTAACGTTTCCGAGTCCATATCAAGACGATTTCTTAATGAGACGATTAGAACTTTTTAATACGAGTTTAAACAGAAGATTGACTTTTGCAGATTTTTTTTCAAATTATCAAAACAAGAAGTAATAATATTAGCATTCAAAAATATTTCAATTTAAAATATTTATTTGACACCAATACACATTTACGTTATGTTACTAATAACGAAAATACTATCATTTCAAAATTAAGTAAAGAAGCAAACGGAAATGTTAAACAATATATACAAAATTACTCTTACATTAATGCACCGAATTATAAATTTGTATGGTATTTAAAAAAAAAAACCAACGAAATTTCAAACAACCCTTCTAATCTTTATCCTATAAGGTCTAGTATCTCTACTAAATCAAACGAACGAGGGTTATCTTATTTTGGTTTTTTTTCTAACCGAACAAATGCATCACAATACGTAGTACAAGATAACACATTATTAATACAATATGACTATTTCTCTTCTAAATCAAGGTATGATAATTTGTACAACTTTGCATTATCTACTCAAACAAGCAAAAATTTTTTGATTTACGTAAAACATCCACAAGTAGCACCAGGAGATATAGCTAATCTTACTCCCGAAAGAGATGTTATTTTAAATAATACAGAAGAAACTTTTGTTTGTCCTTTTATTCATATCATGGTAACACCTAAATACGGAGGAGCTCTTGTTCAAAATTCAAAAAGCAGTCCACTCGTTCCTGACACACGCGATGATAATATTTTAAGTGTCGATTTAGACGTTTATGTCAATAACTTATTACCTAGCTCAGAAAGTGTAAAAACTTCTAAAATGAAACACATTATTCCTTGGCAAATTGCCTTTTTTTTATTAAAAATAATGACTAACACAAACACAATAAAATCTGAGGGTAACATATAAAATATAGAATTTGATCTTAACGAAATTCCAATCCAAATTAACGCTTTATGGAAAATTTGGAACGATCAAGTTATTGTTAAAGACGCTAACAACAACTATACAGAAGAAAAAATAACACTGACTAGTTTTATAGACATTTTAAAAAACGCTTTTGATACTTTTAGTACAAAACTTCTCTACATCTCTCCATCGGCTATAGGTATAGAACCTACAGAATTGTTTGCTTGCTTTTATCAAATCTTTTTTCCAAAAACAAGTCAAAGAAAATATGATCGATTTACTTTACAAAACATACCGCTAGCTTCTTTACCTATACCTTTTTTTAACGTCGACCAAATCATATGGCCTGAACGTGAATTTAAAATGATGGATATTTTTACAGAAAGTATAAATTACAACTTGTCAAACAATTTAATTATTTAAAGTTAAATAATCTTATTTTTGACCAATTTATTTATGAAGGTACTAATATCTACTCTTATCAAAAATTCCTTAATCAAAATAATTTTTCATCCATTCCTAACGACTATTATAAAAATTATTATACTTTTTGGTGTTTACCTTCATTTGAACGAAATACATACGAAATCAATTTAAAATCGCCATTACAAATTTTTAAAGCTATAATTGCTTCAACAAATACATATAACAATTATTTAGAAATGAAAGGAAACCAAATTTCACCGTATCATGCTCAATTTGGTTCACTCAACACGTTTACTACATCTCCTTCTAATTTACCCAAAGATATTTATAAAATCATAACGGCAGATTGGACATTGATTGCTAAATACAATTCAGAAACATTTATCGAGGTTTTGAGATATTGCGAACTA